CATACAGCTGTTATTTCCGTATCAAGAGTTTTGTTTTTGTTTTTCTACGATGATCTTTTGCTACAATCACACTGTTGCCTCTAGAGTTTTGCCTGGTTTTGACTGGCTGTATGGATCTGCTGATCAAGGTTTTGGCAAGCTGTGTCAGATCACTAAGAGGTTGAAGGAGGAGGAATGTGTATTTCAGTGGTCGCCCAATTTTACATTCTACGGAATGACCAAGCTACATATGGCAGACAACTACATGCACAAAACATATACCATGTAGGTACAAAATTGATATGGAGCACTTGAAACAACATTACGAATGCAATAACACCAAATCATTATCTCATTGTTCATTTGTACACTGGCTATTATTGTTTGATAATGACATTATGTTGAAGACCTCATAGATTATATTGAAGAACACCCAAGAAACAGAAGTAAAACTGATTCATTTTATGAAAATCTTCTCTTTTTTTTCTTTTTTTGCTATTTTTACAAGAAGGATAAGTTTTTTTCCGTATTGGTTAAATACAATTACAAAATGTCATATTTTTATTTCAGAATGAAAATAAACTACAAATCGTCAAAAGCAATTTTCAAATATTTTGTACAAAAACAAGTTAACAGTACACAGTCATAGATCATGGCATATAATGGCTGTGAGGATGCTTGATTAGGTCCCGAAATTCCAAGGCATATTTTTTTGTTGTTTGGCAAACCATATTTTCCATGTATCATAAAACTGCTATCAGGTAATGAGTTTTGTAAATGGAATCCCCTTTTCCTAGTTGTGAGTGGTTTATAGGCGTGGAATCAGCATGTGGAAGATAAGGACTTGGTATAGGATAGTTCCCCTCAGCCCCACAGACTATACAACCCAGGAACTGGGGCCAATGCTTGGGGTACTGCAAACACCTCTTCAGTCTGTTGAATCGACTTTAAAGCATTTACCCAGGTTGAAAGTTTAAGGTTTATCCAATACTTAATGAATATGAAATTTCAAAATTTTGCATGAATAGTGGGTGTAGATTTTGCAAATAGTTTTCCTAATCCTAATTAACGATGTACAGTTTAAGTAACCTTAGTATAATGATAAATTGTTATTCCTGTATTACACTTTATGGAGGACATGGGTCTCAATTGTTTTTCATTACAGGGGTTTTCAAGCAAAAATTAAAATAAGTTGACAGCTTATTATTTTCCATACATTTGAATCTACAGATCAAACCTTTGCATTCAGTTGCATATTTAGTGTCTTCACATAAAAAACCCACCTTCAATTCGTAGATTTTTTTTTATTTTTTTATTTTTTGAAATAGTGTAGATTTGTAGGGAATTTTTTATGTGGAATCTATGAAAATCAAACCCTATATGCTTCAGAAACCTGTACAATCCAGGCCTTCAACTAGTTCCATCTGTATGTAATGTACCCTTTGTAATGTGAACATCTGTCTATCATATCATGAACAGATATATTTGCCTATCTTTTGTTCAGTTTGGGCAGGTTTCATTCACTGTTTGTCTGGATTTGTGAAATAGCATTAATACCAAATTTTTAATCTAAAATATTTCCTGTTTTCCATAGTCTGAATTTTTAAACAGTATAGATTTTTTATTCAATTTTAAACTTTTACTTTCTGGTTAATGACTTAAAAATGGTACTTAAGCTATTTTCTTTTTGTCCAAACTGACTAAACGGGAAGTGTCCTTCCCTTTCTGATGGACATTGGCCCCAGAAATTTCATTATGAATGAATTTAAACCGAGACTGTTGTGGAGGAGCCTGTTGTGAGGTCGAGTGTGGGGTGGTCAGGTGGGATGGCTAGAGGGAAACCATTATGGGGTGTGGAGGCTCCATTGTTCTGTGCCTTTGTTCGGTTTGGCCATGATTAGACTTGGTCCATTGATGTATGTGCCAGCCTTCACAACTCTCCCTACTTGACAGATGACATAGAAATGGCCTTTCAGTCACCAGCTTTGGGACTTTACAATAGGGGCTCAGCCAAAATCTGGTCTTTTCCAGGGGGTTAGTGAAGGTCGTGATCATTCATGGTCAGTTTCTGCACTTGAAATTCACAATATAATTTGCCTTCAGGTTTGTTGTTTTGTTGAACGAGAAGTTATGCAAAAAAAAAATGAACAAGAAAAATTACTGTAATGCCAGAAAAGATGTAATCCTTTCCAGGAAGAATTTTTGACATGCTTTTCTTGTGCCTTGACAAATTGTATGCAGAAACACATTAGTGCTTATATAGTAGTTTCGTGGTCCGATTCATATTGGAGATAGTGTGTGGTTGGCATTTTGTAAAAGAAATTGATTCATGAATGAAATATTCAACAGTTACTCGTACTGTTTTAAAAAAATTGCATGACTACAAAACATTTATTTGAAAAATTCCTGAAAAAACTTTAACTTGTCGAAACGTCTCCATTGATTGACTGATTTGTAGGCTGGCACTTCTCCGGAAAATGGTTCCTCATGTCACGGAGGTTTCATGTGAAGGGGGAATGAAATTAGTCTCGGTGCTGAACTTGTTTTGAAACCGTTTAAAAGAATTAATCTGAATGGTGCTGTACAGAATGTACTGGATGGAACGGGAAGTTGTAGGTGGTGATTCCACTAACGACTTTCACCCTTGACCCTGTGTTGTTATCTCAAACCTACAGTTTTTATTTCATTTGGACGTCTTGTATAGGTGCGGTTTTAATGTAAGTCTCCGACATTAGTAATTGGTGTGTACTGCAGTGTTTAATTGGACAGTTAAAGTGGAGTTGTTACTATTAAAGCATTCTCTGTCAATTTTTATCATCAGTTCATCAGAAAGCAAGTTTGACTAAGTTTCCAAGAGCAGTCTTAGTTGTTCATTGTATTAATATTCCAAAAAACGCTACAGAACTTTCCCCATCTCCAGCAGCAAGAATGACAAAACAAGATCCAAAGATTTTAAAACTGTCAAAAGTGATTAAAAGTATGTAAATGGCACTCGTATAACTGAGAAGAACCACCCAAAAAAGTTCATTACATGTACTCGTGATATTTACAGATATGACATACAAGACCTCGTTCTCTACAGAAAAACCTTTTTCCCCCCTAGTCTACCTAAGTGGATACCATCGCTTCTCTTCTCAATAGAATAATTAACATTGAGATAAAAAGCAAGACTGCTAGGTAGACATGTTGAGTGGTGTAAGGTTTGACGGACAGGCATGGGACACTTAGTGTGCTATGCCTGGCACAGCTAGCATGACCAGTGGTGTCCCACACACAAGGTATAGAGTGTTGGAACTGCCTAGCTGGCTCACGAGAACTATGTACCTAGCATGTGGATTGTATAGTGTGCCTGGAAGCTAGGCGAAGAGAGAGGGCCACACACAGAGATGTGGTTTATTTGCAATTCTGATCATGTGGACCAATGAGAAAGGACTCCCCCACCTGTGACGTGCTAGTTTGAGGTCTTGCTCCCTCTACAGACAGCCTAGTGTAACATCCAGTAGCTAAACTCACTTTGCGTCTTTTAGTACAGTCTTGCAAAACACAAACTAGGACAAAAATAAACAATTTGATGTGTGGGTCTATAGCCTTACTTACCGCTAGCCTTGATGATCTTGTGGTTGTCTACCATTAGGTTTTGACAAAAAACTCTGGAGATTAATGTGTGACAGAGCAGAATTGATTCATTCAAGCTCCAGATGTTTTATTAGCTTAAATGTATTAGAAGAAATGTGGTGGTACACAGTACAAGGGACACCATATCCCACACTGCGCTAGTGTTACAGCATTTAATACGCTTTGGTGGTGTTCTACCTTAGGGTGCAGTGTATAGTTTAGGTCCCACTCCACAAAGCTTCATTAGACTTGTGACACTTAATTTATATCCCTGATATCATCTACCTTAATGTAGAATTTACATCCATTATACCGTCTTTGATAGTGAAACTGATATCAGCAAGCACTAGGAGTTTAAGAGACAGTTTAAAAGGAAAAAATCAATAAAAATATTGGAGTTAAAGTTGAGATAAGCTTGTTTCGTATTATACACTTTTTTGTCTGGTCTACATATCTGTATGCTGGTACAATTTATAATAGAGATTTGAAGTAAAACTGTTTTTATTGTTAATAATTTTTGAAAATAAATCATAAAAATAAAGTATTAAAGAATTTAAACAGCATCAATTTGTATTAAAACCAGGGAGGTCTATGTGCTTTATTCAAAGTTTCCTTGCAATGGAGGTGACTTTTTCAGGGTGAATCACCTGAATAAGTATTATGTTAGTGATGTCAGTGTTATTTAGTATCAGAGGTGTATGAAAAGGAGCTCTGCCACATAGAATGCCTAGTGTTATTTATGAAATGGGAATTCCTGTTGGTCATGATCAAGCATCATGGCGGCTCAGCAATGACCTGCTGTTTTCTTTGAGAAGGTTTTGTACACCTTGTATAAACAGAGATGTATATAGGACAGAGACCTTATGTGACAATTTCTTTCCATGAGCGGTGGAAAAACCTTTATGGTTGGGAAAAAATTGTGTCAATACTGAATGTGAATATTTTGTAACAGTTTATTTCTCTGTCACAAATTGACAGAGAAAACAGAAAAAATAAATCTTCAATTCTAAAATGTTTGCATTTCGTGGAGGGTCACAAGAACAGCGACATTTGCCTACTGATTACATTAACTGTGTGTCAATTTTATGTAGTATGAGGATATATAAGGTGTACAATTGTGTTTTTTTTACATTCATTTGAAAAAAAGTACTCATTTATGAATTCAAATATTTTGTGAATGGTAAATACTTATTTTTTTTACAACAGTCAGTTGTAAATTCAAATTCACTAAAATAATCAAAAGTCAAAACGTTAGCTGATGAAAATATTCCCAAAGTATAGCACAATTTAGTGTTTGATTGCATTAATTTGTCCTTTCATAAAAAATGACATTTGATTTGATTTTTAGTGAATTTTATGTCAGTATATGGTACAGTATTTTGATGTATTTGCATAATTTCTTGCAGAGGGAGGTCGTTTAGAGGAGGAGTTGGATTATACACGGAATACTGTAAACACAGGGAGTGGCATTACTAGTGAACTTATTATACAAACCCCTAAAATAAAGGGCAGTCATTTATTAGATGTGCAATCAATGCAGCTCCATTTAGAGACATTACGAAAAGTCACACAGATAGAAGTGGATATGTATGAGCAGTAAGTATCAATTCATTGACCCCTATAGTCACATATAGACTCTTCCGAGACTATGAATTAGAAAGTCTTTTGTTAAAATCCAGGGGAGAATGAGTTAATAGAGATGAAATATTACTCGCTGTACAGGACCATTCCTTGTTTGTTCGAACATATCTCCTATAGCAAAAAATATGTGAACAAAATGTTTTTAAATTTGTTTGATAGAAAATTGAAAAAGTCAACATTGCATATTTGAAATAAACATTTTATGACTAGATATCATTTGTAATACTATTTCTTTACTTTTCAGATCATGGAACTTTAAAGATTTGTGTTTTGTAGCTGATTTTCCAGAATTTGAAGACATGTATTTAAATTCAGTAAGTATCTATATTTTCATCATATATATATATTGCAGTCATTTTCCTCAAAAGCTTTGTCCAGTAGAACTGAGAGAAATATATGAAGGATAATCAGTTATATTTGAAATAATCCCTACATTGTTTTAAATGGCATTTTTTGTTTGATTTCAGATTTTAAGCCATATAAAACCATGTATCATTATGACCCCATTGGACTGTTTTTGGGATGGTTCAAAACTTCTTGGACCAGAAAGGGATTTCCTCCCAGGATTGTGAGTATTAGTTTATCTTATTCGTGTACATGTATTGTTTAAGCTGCAAGTAAAACACCATTGTTGATATAAAGTTAACCAAATATTGCCAAGAAAAGACATCAGGAATAGAAATGTAACAGATGTCATTATTTTTTCAATGGCTCCACTAGGAGTCAAACCTAGGATCTCTGGTTTACCAGTCTTACGCTCAACTATATGAGGTAGGAATCAGCTAGTATTTTGCCAGGGTGATAGAAACGAAAATAAAAAAAAGTGAAAGCCAAGAATTCATTACAAACTTGGACAATGAAAGAACTCTTTCAGGAATACCTAGGAGTAAAAGTTAAAAAGTGAATGTCAAGACTTCATTCAGAAGTTAAGATTTATTTAGACCACAGGTATCAGATTTAGACTTTAGATGAAGATGACTGGAAATTCTGTGGGGGTTTATCACAGAAACACGAGAAACAAATTAATGTTGTAGGACAAGTTATATCCTATAAATGGCAGAGATATGATAGTCTTAAGTATGAAATATGATTTCCAGGTGTGAATCAACACACAGCTGTCATTGATCTCTTTATTTCCCCCTTGTCAGTTGTCTCTAGGTGTCTGTCCAGGTATGGCCCAGGTTTGACAAGTGTAGATGGGCAGTTTGTCATCCCTGAAACCATAAACATCCCAATTAGAGAAAACTGAAATATCTTTCATAATTAATAGCAAACTAAATTTAGAGAAATCTGGTTAAAGCTTTAATCATTGTGAATTATCATTCATAATTATCATCTCTGTATTCAATATTGATATTAACACTAAGCATCCTATGATCTGAAATTGTTAAAAGAAAATGTAGGACTACAATAAGTTCAAGAAAACCATTGAGAAAAAAAATGGGACACAAACTTTGTTATTTCTGTTTTCCCATTTATTTAGAAAGTCATTTGTGAATTTAGGTGCTGGCTCTATGCTTTTAGAGAGAGATATTCTATAAATACATTTTACCATAGCGTTCTTTAATTTGGAAAGTAAGTGAAAAAGGAAAAAAAAGTAAAGAAGGTATAGTTTCTTCCTTTTTTGTTAGAAAATGTAAAAAACTGGATTTTGTCTTAAGAGATAAGAACTGTAGTAACATAAGCTTATCTTGGCATCCATAATTGAGGCTATTTGACTGACAATAACTACCTTGGGGGAATTCTGTGCTTATCAGTAATAAATAGAAAGGCAAAAACTGTGTGTTAACGATGCTAGATAGGGCCACCATTGATCTGGTCTGGGGATACAGTTTGGACTCCAGGGTCACCTGCTCCCCATTCCAATGGTCAGTTTGTGGGTGGTCTACATTGACCAGTAGACAGAGTTCCACCAGATTGAACCTATAAACCGATAACAGAAGTGGTATATAAGTCCATTTTAATGCTTGCCTTCCCTCCAAGTGCTCCATGCTGAACAGATAAAACCTGCCCTAGCCTGCCTGCAAGGCAGCTGAAGCCCTACACCAAGGACCACCATTCATGAATTTTTTCTTTAGCAAAGCTTGAAGGATAAGAAGTTTTGATCCATATAATATCAGGCAGCCATTATAGTTAGAGAGTGTTACAGTTAGAATTTATAGGCAGTCAGGAGTCCTTGACAAAGAGGGTGTAAATGTATGACTGACTGCATTTCAAAGCAGGTTCACAGTGTGCTGTGGAGTAGACGGCTATCCCGTTCCATCAGTAGACCTAGCATGAAGCTGTGTTTCTGTTACCATTTCAATAGAGTTGGGGGCAAACTCCTGTTGAAACTAATTCCTCTTCATGATCATTAGTGGGGGAAACATTGTTGGGGCTTAGCCTGCCTTAAGCTTGTAACTGGTTAAAGGAGGGTGAATTGGCTGAATATAGATATTACCATACTGTCTTATAAATTACAATCAGACAATTAGTGGTATAATCAGAAAAATAAAGATTTTCTTTTCAAAGCTTAAACATTTACTGACTCAATTATATTTGTAGAGATTGACACTCATTTGTTGGCGTACATAATTATTTCCACTACTTTTCATAAATATTTATGTCTAAATTTTGATTATCAATATTTTGAAAATAACGGCTTAAATTATCGTTATTATTTTCCATTTATTTAAATACATATACATATTTTGCAAGATTTAATCTGAATTATACAATTATTCTAAAGAGGACTGCTTTTAAGTTGAAAAGATGAAAAAGTAGTTTAGCAATTAAAAGCGAGCACCTGCAAGAAACTTTAGACTACAAATAACTTGTTACCTCTCCAGACCAGAAAAGCTAATACAAGAAAAATAAAGATAAGCATACTGTGAAGTTTAATTTCACTTGATGAAAGGAAGTTTGGTTCCTTGTAGAGGTAAGGTAGGTGTCTTCACAGGATAGAACTAGTACAGAGAGAGAGACACAGGCAAAATGTTTACATAGCTGGGAGTTTCAACGGGAAATGTGAAGAATGAGGGCTCTAGGATAAGGGTAAATTGTGTAGGTGTGGGTGGTCTATCGCAGGTCAGGTCTTCTTATGTATGCTAATGGAGGAAGGCATTTTTTTCTGTCTCCCCTTTCCCAAGCAGTGGGAGTTTGTTCCCTGTTAGTGTAGGAGATTGGTATCTGTGGGTGGAAGCCTCTCCTTTCATTGGCTGGGCCTGATCTACCAGATTCAAAACAGTTGTAACTGTTTAGATACGAGGATCTTCCACCTATCTGATACCAGTTGACAAATCATCTATTAATCTCAAAATTTATAGGTGAATTTTTTTATCACGGATGCAATATCTTTTACTTTATATATAGACTGTGATACTTAGAGGCAGGCAAGACCCCTCCAGACTTATCTATGTCTGAAGCCTTGTGCAATGCATTTCTCTATTTTGTGTTTATATAATTTAAGCTTCCTGTTTACTCTGCAAATTTATGGCTATTCTTATAAAATGTTCATTACTACAGAACTGTTTGAAGTATCTTTCTTGTTGGAATCAATTTTTTTTTCAAAATTTCATTTAATTTCAATATAATACCATCCAAATTGTCATAAAAAAAGAGGAAGTTGTTCCAAATATACCCAACCTATACTATTTTACTCATTACCTTGTAATTAAAAAATCCAACAAGATCAGATTCATGATTTTTCTGTCAATCAGAAAGGAAGACAAGATGCTGACATGATCTTGGTACAAGTGTTCTTTCTTACCATTTCTTGGTCTGGCTTAAAGTTTGTTGTGGTAGTTTAAATACATTTTTCCTCAAGAATATTTTTGTATCATTACAATTTATTACTACATTTAACATGTGTAGGTTGAAAATGATGATTGAGATAGGAAACTTGCATATTAAAAAATATTTTGATTAAATTGAGTAAAATGTGTGTTTGTTTTTTCCAGGGGTATTTCATTAATGAAATGGACAAACTTAAACCCAGAACAGTTAATAGATATGATTAGAGATGAAACTCCATCTGCGTATGTCGAAGCTATTGAAGAAGTAATGAAAAGGGTAAGTGTTTAATTTTCAAATTTACACAAGCATAAAACAAATACAATGTACACATGTTAAAAAATACTTCATTGATTTTTGTAAAATAATTTTTGCTGAGTTAAGTTTTTGAAACTCTTATTATTTTAGTCAAGTTTTATGAAAAAGTTTTATTAATTTAAAACTAATTTTGAATTTTGATATTTGTGTTTGACAGGCGGGAGTAACTACAGCGTATCAAGAAAAGCCATGTTTAGATCCTTCAGATTCAAATTGTCCAGCTCTGGCACCAAACAAACAATCAAGGGAGGTGAGTACAACATGCAATTAATATCGACTTTCTTGATTGGTCTTTTCAAAAACATTGCTGTTTTGAAGAACTTTTTTTTTAGTTTAGCAATAAGGATGTGAAAGTCCTGTGTAATAAGTTTTAAATAATTTTTGAAAACATTTTAAACATACACTGTACTTTATACATGTGTGAGCTAAATGTAGCAATAATGCTTGTCAAAGTCCTTCAGGATGCTCAACCTGGCACTCTCGGCATCTACAGATGAGCATCTCTATCAATGGGGGGATCTCCCAGTTGTGCCCTGCACCAGTGTGGTAGGAATGACAATCACACAAAGATAGTGTTATCTCCTCTTTGGGAGGGCAAGTGGTCAGAATGGATTAGCTTGAAGTGACTGATAGTGGCTGAGTACATGAGAAATAGGAACATGTACACCTTTTCAGATGGATGTAGACTCCTAATCACGACAATCTTCCCAGTCACATGAACAAAACATAGCCCTGTGTTTGCCCGCCATCTAGAGTGCAAATGAAAATCAGTATTCAGTAGTGTTTTTAGACTGGAATGCTAAAAACCGATGCCAATTTTTGTTTTGTTCTGCTGCTGAAATGTAATCAAATTATTTTCAAAAAGTCCAAAATGGTTCTTGTAGATATAACTTATTCTCAGATTTCTAAGGGTGAAAAACTAAGTTTTTGGTCAATCAGGAAATGTTTTTTTACGAATGTACAGGTTGAGCCTCTGCGAGGGGAGATAATTTGATTCTGTGATGAAGGTTGTGGTGCTTGGTAACCTCATAAACCCAGTAGGCTAAGAATCTGGTTCATGTATAAAAACACACAAAACATCTTCAGAATCTACTAGGCCTAATGTCTTTTCTTATGGGATAAAATTCATATTTCAGCAGCGTTACTTTTTCAACTTTTTAAAACCCGAAATGACATTTTAATAATCATTGGATCTTTTTTTCTGCTGGTCTTTTTCGCGATGTTGTATATGCAGGGTATGATTTTTCACAGTGTTATAAACCGACATCCAGTGTAAGGTTTTTTTCAGTGTGTGGTTTTGATAGGTAGGTTGAATGAGTAACTATGTATTACAACGGATCTAGGTCAGAGTGTTTTGTGAGAGAGGGGAAGGGGAGGGGGCATTACACCACAGAGGTCGGGAGGAATGGTATAGTAGGGAAGGAATGCATGGGGAATCGCAGGGGCCATAAAACGTGTAAGGAAAAAAACTTCAAGCCAACAAACATAAATCTTGGATCTAAATAGGACGGGCATTGGTGGCCTATGTTAATTGGTCTGTACTGATGCTAGCTCTTCCCTTCTGTTAGTGATGGAGATAACCACAGCATTTATAGAGTACAGCAAAGGCTGATGATGAACTAGTCACCGGATCCCTTAGAAAACAAAAAGAGTGGTCGACTTTTAGGAGATTTACCTCCACAAAGGGATAGTAGCTAGGTGCTTCATTCTTGTAAGATGTTTGATTAAAGGGTATTGTTGGAAATCCCTGTAGTTTTGCAAACTTATTGACGTATGGGTAAAAAAGCTAGATAAACATATATCTGATGTACATTTACAATTGCAAAATTGATATATTTATGTTACTGATGTGCAAGAAACTGGTTGTACAATAAAAAAATTGAAGCGATTCTATTTGAAGAGAACAAAGATTTGTATATTGGGTGGTCCGTTCTGCCAACAGGAGAAAAGAGGTCTAAGAAATACTGGAAAAGATTATACTCTGTACTGATTATGCTGTATATCTAAGTTATGCACTAAGGGTACTTTCGGAGATCAATGCTCAACAATTATTTGATAACATCATTTGGAGTCCTTGCATATAGTTAAAAGTTTGATTTATATGTACACAGTTTACGTCACAGCGCATTTTGAATAAAAAAGCTCCACAATGTTTAGACTTTAAACAGCATCAGACTTTGGGAAAAGCTTTGTCCATGTATATGTGTGTGTTTAAATGTACCACACAAGAAGCTACACTTTATTTGATGATCATAGTTTCAACATGATTATAATCTTTTTGACATTTTCTGCTTAACAGCATTTAAAGCTCTATCGGGCTTTATTACTGGTCAATCCCTTCTATGTATTAGAGCCTTTGGTAGCTCGAAGCTCTGGTTCATATCCAGTTACCAAATTGTCCACTTAAATCTTAAGAATTTCAACAGTTTAGATCGTCAGTCTAATTGTAGACTTGAAAAACGGATCGTTTTTTTTATCTTTTATAGATAGAGAGATTAAGATATTTAAAAAAAAAAAGATCTCTGACCAATTATATTGTTGTTTTGTTAACAATGGTGGTTGGTGATATTTAACTCGACGGATTTACACGCCAGTATTTCAGTGTTTCAGTTCATTCTGTGATCTTGTTCTTTTTTGAAACTGGATCATGTTCCTAAGATACATGAATTTTAAATTTCTTCAATCGAAAATCGGGTGTTTTATATTTTGTTGTTGTTGAAACTTTAGCTTTTGGGTATTTTTTAAAAAGATGACAAATTTGACAATGTACTTCCAAAAAAAGTTAGTTCTGTGTGATTAGGAGACTCGATATACATATCCCTAAAGAAAAACATCATGAAGGAAGAAAACTTGTTTAACTTTTGTTAGTAAAACAGTATAATATTTCAGAGCAGCGTATTGCCTAAATGTTACAGGTGTCTATAGGGTCATGCTATCGGGTATCAAACACAACTAAATTGAAAGGTAAAGCTGACTTTGAATGTATATATTTTTTCTAGAGTACACCTAGAGGAAGTTCTATGAGAAATGCATTCAGTGACTTTGAAATGTATTTTTGGATTTGAAAAATTAATTCACACAAGGTTATAACTATCCTTGTCCCTATGACAATGTTATAGAATAAGATAAGATGTGTCAGATTTTTTTGATTTTATTAAAGCGAAAACATGAATTTGACTTTTGTTTACTTTCAGTTACCTGACATTGGTGGTGCACTAACGGGTGGTTGCTATGGTTTTGCCACCAAATACATGCATTGGCAGGAAGACCTAATTGTGGGAGGCATTACCAGAAACAAAACAGGCCATATTGTCAGGTGAATACAGCCAGAACCTGTTGCTGTCAGTTAAAAACGACTTGCAATGTAGTCTGGATAGAGGCACAGTGTTTTCAAAATGATATCATAATTCTGAATGCATATATCTTATGGCTTTTAAATTACAGAGATTATTTAGATCTGGTATTAATTAAAAATCGTTTGCAGAGGAATAAATACATTTAAAAAAAAGGTTTTTATATTTTCTTAACATCATGCATTAGATATAAATGTTTTATATGCCGAGTGGAAAGATTGATGATAGTGCATTCTTTGTTTATTTCATTTAAGCTTTAAAGCCAATGCATTACATTTTATTCCTGAATGAAAATTGGGCCAAATTGTTAACCCATTTGGTAGGCTGTGCAAATTCCATTTACAAAAAGAAAAAAGAGTGTTTATTCTGGAAATCTCTTTTTCATTTAACTCCCGCTTACAAGTGGTTTTTTTTCACAAATAAGGAAAATATTAATAAAAACTTTAGATTAAACTTGTTGGGTGGTGGTGCTCCCTAAAACCCCACAGAGAACAACTGTGAAAGAAATTCTGTGTGCTCTGTGTGGATATATACTGAAGTTTACCGCCCAGTGAAGGTAGATCTCCATACTGATGACTACCTTTTGTGTTTGTTCTCAGAGCGGAGGCCCTGCAGTCTATTGTACAGCTTATGGACGATCAGCAGCTCTTCGATTTCTTCAAGGTCACTAGTAAAACCATCAGCATTGACTGGACTCCAGACAAAGCTAAGGCCATACTGGAAGCATGGCAGAGGAAGTTTGCTCAGGTGCGATACCTACCGCTACACTTCCAAAAAATATAACATATACTTCTAGTAGTGGGTAAACAAAATCAACCCTGTCAATCAAATCAATCTGTTTTTGTTGCAAAACGGAAAGTTCTAAAATGTGAAAATATTCTTATATATCAATTAGTAAAATTTAATCAATTTGATGAATAAGGTGATGAATTCCTTTATATACAGATGCCCAAAAAAAGAATTTCATAAATATGTTTGTGTCTACAGTAAAATAATTTGAAAAAAAGCTGTTTCTATCTCATTATTTAAATTTCTTTTTAGAGATAATTTATTCTTCAGATTTAGCATTGTAGAGAACAAGGATTTTGATAGTCCTTGTAATCAAAGATTTGAATTTAAAATGTCAATTTAGACTTGAGTCCATACAGGTTCTTCATTCTGTAATATCTCTGTTATATCATGATTTCTGTTGAGTAGGCCTCCCACCCAGAATGCATTGATGTCATGACTTCTGTTGTAAATGTTTTCAAAAATTTTGCAGGAAACAATTCAGGGGTAAAATTGAAATTCCTACCAAAAAAAACCCCAGATTTTTTTTATTCAAGATTAACACTTGAAGATTCTTTCATGAAAGAAAAACCTAAAGAAATGTTTCTATTTCAAATTTAAAAGTCCACATATTGGCTATAGGATAATTAGGGCGTTATGATTGAAGGCTGTACACCGTAAATCCAAAGTCACAAAGTACACCGGGTATACACACCATCACACATTATCAGGTTGAGTCGTGGTGCCCTTCGTAAGCCTCTCTTTCAATCTTCTATGGCTTTGTGTCCGGTTCTGTGTCATTTATTATTCATTGAATAAAATTTCAATTTGAAAGAAATAATTAGATCGTGGCTGCTGATACTAGGTTTATGAGAAAAAGTTGTCTTGTTCCACCTCAACCAGACTTTAAAAGCCTGACCCATTTACAGAGTTAGGACTCCCGGTGTTGAGAACAGCAATGTTGACATAAAAATTACATAATGAATAAACGTTAGGGGTGCAGAGACACAAGGGCAGCCTTTTATAATGAATTACCTCTCATTATGGGTATTTAACAATGCACTGCTTACCTGTTGCCAAAAAAAAAAAATTTAAAAAAAAATTGAAAGAATTTCAAAAAAAAAGAGAAAAAGAATATACAGTATATGGTTTTATATAATAACAAGACTTTATAAACTGCCACCTAGTCCACACTTTTACAGCAGACCAGCGGAATCATGAAATACATCATGTATTGTATTAAAATCAATTTCAATATCTTATTGACTACAGGTGGTCAATGGAATGGGCAATTCTACGTCACCTGACCAGATGTTAGGATTCTCGACTACCTCACTTATGGACATCATGAAAGAGTTCTCCAGCGTTAGCACCGTCAGAGTGTTGTTTGGCTATGTTCTAATGGTAGGTTGACATCGGAACCCTTTGAAAAGTTGTTGATTGGTAAATTTTGAATTCTCAGAATTTATTTTCAAAATCACAAGATATTATTTGCATGTGGAAACTTTCGAAATTGATACATAATTTATATATTGTTATTTTAAGAATTAATTTTTAAAATATTCCAATAAAAGATCATATCAGGTTCAGTTATTTGAGATCATTTAAGGTCTAATTGAAAAGTTCTGCTGCAGTGATCTGTAATGAAATATTGGATCTGACCAAATTCTTTCCTTTGCAGGTATTTTATGCATGTATTTCGTTGCTGCGGTGGAACAATGGAGTTCAGTCTCAAAGTGGCATTGGCGTCGCTGGTGTCCTCCTTGTGGCATTATCTGTGGCAGCCGGCCTGGGGATATGTTCTGTACTAGGGATACCCTTCAACGCTTCTACAACACAGGTAACGACACCTGTAGTTTTACCTGTATTTTCCTGTACTGTACCTGTAATATTGAAGTCATGCACCTGAATTTTAGATCTTTTATTAATGGTTTTCTATTAATGACTTGCATTATTTTCAATGTTTTACAAAGTTTGAAAAAGGTCTCGAAATACCATACTTTTTCAGATATCAGCATTGTAGGTAGTTCTTATTAATAGAGTTTTAAAGGATTTGATAGGACATTAGTGGACGAAGATATTGCTGCCTCTATATCCACATCAATATAGTTTGAAATACATCCAGCCAGCCCCCTTGGCATTAGAGTAATACCAAGAGGGCTGGTCCCAAAATCTTGTTTTATGGGTATCCAAAAATTTGAAATAAACTATATTAAAAAGAAAAAAGTATGTTTCAAGTAAGCATGTTTAGATTTACCCAAAAATTGCCTACAATCCTTTTTACTGTTTGTATGACTCGTGCAAAGAAATCAAACAACTTCTGTGTCAAATTGCTTCTCTTATACTTAATTGGAGAACCAGGGTGTCAGTGACATGGAAACCCGATGTGTACATGTCATAAACATTGTACTGGTTAGGGGGGATAGGCAACGGAGATGGAAGTGTTTGGAGCGCTTCACACACACAGACTACAGAGGAGATAAAATTAGCTGTAGTATTATCATAATATCTTTAGACCCAAATTTCTTTCACTGGAACATATAAGCCGTTATAGGAATTCCGAGGGCTGCACTTTGGTGGAATATGCCACCTACACAGCCCCTTGTTACAGAGGGGAAGTTTGGCACTTGTTCCATGTTGCTGTGTGTAGCCGCTGTAGTTATCCTGATGTGCTTGTGATTTGGGATAATTTGGTAGATAGGGAAATGAGAACATTATCGGTAGAACTTGCTAACTTCATCAGCATCAGTCTGACTTAACCCACATTATCATCATAATCATCATTACTGTTAATAAGCAGTGAAGGCAAATTCGCATGGTGATGGTCTGGGGCCGACACGGTGGCATGTACAGTAAACCGCCAACACTTCTTAACAGTGGTCAGCATTTTACAGGAATGTGCCCTTTGTTTCAAAAAATTATTAAAGAGATTGATATGTCAGTCATATCCGTATAAATTATTTTTTCTAAAAGAAGATGAGATTTGAAATCACAAAAAGGCAAAAAAGGGTTATATATTTTTTATCAGTTTATTGTGATTAAAATTACTTTAGCTCAACATGTATGGATTTTAAACAATATGCTGTTAAGGTTTGGTAGTTTTGTGTCAGGTGGATGTTATTACAACTTCTTATGGATGATCCGAAACATCTAATTAGTACAAGCATGATTTTCTGCAAGCGTTAATGATGTTTTGACATTTTGCCATAACACTTTTATGTTTAAAATTGAAAAAAATATGTATACACGTTGACATGGTGGTTAGGTTATCAGCAGATTTAATTAATCCAGACGACGCAGGACTAAAGTAAACAATGTGTAACATTAGCCCTGTGTGTACTCAGTGTTTCACCTGCATGGCAGTGCAGTCTGGCTGAGCTTGTGAAATTGTGCAAGCCATGCTTGAAGTTCTAGTCATGCAAAGGTGTACAGAGAGTTGCTTGTTTGGTACTTTACCTGGCCAGGGGTCGACAGGTGTGGGTGGGCGGGGTGATTTGGTGTGAAGGGACGGTTCAGAGGTGTCCGTATACTACTGCTGATTTTCCATTGAACGTCAGCTAAAAATACAACAAATATTGCTGACATGACAAGAAAAAGAATCATTTAATTGAATGAATGTCTTTTAGCTTATTTATGTGGTTTTCTTTCTGTATACCATAAAAAGTTGCTAGAAGTCATTAGTTTGTTGATACTATTGGAATCATGAGTGGGTTGTCATCGAAAAGTGAATTGTAGATTGTGTTACAGTAGAGATGTATGGGAAAAAAACCATGCAGCGTGGTCTAACCATACAGTTCCTTTGGTACTCAGAAAATCTGGGATCCGTCGAGAGCCCATCATCGTTAATTGACAGGACTCATAAGATGTATAATTATATCAGGTATTTGTTCATTTCTCGCCAAAAAAACAACAAAAAACCAATACAATTTGAAGGATATATGTAAGAAGATCACAAGTTAATCAAGGAGCCTCTTGGTTCATCTCACGTCCGTTAATCAACCTAGTAAGTACCTTGGCCCATGAAGAAATCTGGAATGTTTGTGTAGCAATACTGTGTGCACTTTGTCGTCGACGGTAATCAAAGATGATTTATGCACGGATCCGTTGACAAGCAAGAATCATATNGGGGGGGGGGGGGGGGGGGGGGGGGGCATTCATTTGTCCCATTTTTCAGGTGTACAGAAATCAAGAGTTTTTTTTCGGGGGGAGGGGGGTTGAAGGGAGGAGGGGATGCAGCAATTCAATCATATAATATACTGGTGTTTCATAAGTGGATAGAGAATAACCTGGTATCATTAATTGTAAGTAGTCTACTGATTAATGTTTGTCGAGGAATGTCGTAATTGAGTTATCTTGCTAAGCCTCGGACATACAAAACAGGTACCTATCTCAGATTAACATAGATGAATACATTGTACATCTTCGTCAGTAGATTTTTTCTTCCCCTGATTTAATGTGAGATTTTGTTGATCTGTTTTTGATGTACAGGGGAATTAATTATTATCATAATACTTTCATCTACTTCATGTTTGCATCTGCATGTTTATCAGAATGTTTTGATTTCAACTAGTTAACTACAGTTTTTCTTCGTTAATTATTATATCAAGGCAGTAATATATTCTGTGAAAAGAGTATTACTAGTAACAATATTGTTATTTGTACAGGATGATGTGTTAAGAGATTCAATTAGCATGGTTTTACCATTATGTAAGAAAATGATAAAATCAACAAAGGAAAAACATGACATGTCAAAAGCTGAAACGCATCAAGACAACTGATGCCTGTGCCATATATTTCGTCTAATTAGATCTAACGAGCAGAGACGTGTTAACCCGGGGAGACATTTTAGACTACCCATGTCTATATCCTGTTTAGAGACTTGTAGAATCAAGGTTAGGTTATTTACCGTTAGATCAGTGATCCAAGGACGCCCTAACGGTGTACAGATTTCTCCGACTTTGAAAGTTTACGGGTTTAGTGTGTACCAATACATCCTCATCTTTGTGAGAGAATTACAGTCCTAAGTGAGAGTTACGTTGATGAAGAAAATAAAGATACGTTCACAATTATGAGGCCAGCCACTGGACCTCCCTTGAAACAGTCCAGTGCAGAATACGTTTGATGGTAAATATTGTGGGGAAGCTCAGTGGTAGACCTAGAAAGCCAAGATCAGCTACGTTTTTCATCTGTATTGTAGCAGATGTTCAGCGGATTTGACCTACCGAGAAGATAAAAAGAGGCACGGACAGAATTCAAGCCCAGAGATGTAGTCCAAACGTGTTTTTCACGTTATCTGTTGTAAAAATGCAAAAAATACACAGATGTTTTTTACATACAGTGCTTCAGCGATGGAAATATCATTTGAAGACTGTTGTGTGTGTTGCCATGGGGAAAGGTCAACCATTTGCAGTGATACTACCTTGTGCAATAAGTATACATATATTTAAAGAGCAAAAAATTTCATTTATTTCTTTTAATTTCAGATTATTCCATTCTTGGCTCTAGGACTCGGAGTTGATGATATGTTTCTTATTGCTCACACATATTATGAAAATGGCAACAAAAAATCCATACCCTATTCAGTAAGTGTTTTACCCTACTTAAAGACATTTGCTGCAAATAAACACGTTATAATTCATGTATCTGCAGAAAACAAAAACTTTAATCCTCGTTTAAAAATTATGAACTTGTACTAATTTTTTTTTTGGTATTGAATTAAAAAACAGAAAAGGAAAATAATTTGCTCGATGTAATTCTGTTAAAGATTTTGTTTATACGGTAGATTTTGATTATTTGCAGTGCTGAAATTAATTAATTTATTCTATCACTTGTTCAGGACCAGACTGCAGAATGTCTTAAGAGGACTGGTGTGTCTGTACTTTTGACCTCTGTCAATAACATGCTGGCTTTCTTCTCTGCCGCTATCATCCCAATACCTGCTCTCAGAGCATTCTCCCTTCAGGTAAGCAATTTCACAAACTTTTCATTTTCCCAAAACATTAGGAAATCATTGCTTGAAATGATCATATTTGGAAAAGAAAAGGTCAATTTGATTTTCTCCAAAAACTACATAAAGATGCTGAAGATTAGTTTATTTCTGCTGTTGAAACTCATTACATTCAGAATTCACCGGTTATATATACAAAATAATGCCGTCAGTGTGGCGGTACAATTGGATGAGCAGTGTCTAAGTGCTTTTAGGAAGCTCCAGTACAGGTGGGCTAATTTGAGATGACAAGGTTTGACCACTTTGGCTGTCGGACGTATTGAGTGGCTGGTAGCTATATAGGACGAGCGACAAGACAATTACCTGTAGAGTATCTCCTTTGTCCTACAGGATTAGGAGTCATTGTTCTAACCCTGAGTGTAGTGTGATTGGTAAAGCGTGGGTTAATATCACATAACCATAACAATAAAATGTGACCCGGTATGGGAAAAAAAGGCCACAGTGTATCCGATGTTATGAGTAGTATTGTATATATATTACCACACACAGAGCCGATGGTGACATGGTTTATGAGGTACGATTCTGGTAGGTAGATCAACAGAGCGGTGGCTTAAACCTGCATGATGTATCTGTATGGTTACACAACCAGGTCAGGGCATGGAGTAGTATTGGGGAGGGGATCCAGGGGAGGGGATCCAGGGGAGGGAGCAACAAGGTATCACAATATCAAGATTACCTTAAACAATGACAGTGATTTAGATTTCTGTACTGAAACATTCACAGCTTGGGATAGATGTATTATTGTAAGTTTGTATAAGAAGTTTGAACATCGGCCAGCTGCAGTAGTGAATAGTTTCCTCTCCGATGCGTACATTGATGCATGGCACACGCACACGCGTATGCACATGCATTAGATGTACATCACAGACAGCCAAGATTTTGGTGGAGATGGGAAATGAATGGTATTGGCTCTGGATGTGCAATGTGTAGTATTTAGTATAATGGGTCACTGGTCCCATTAACACACTGCAGACTGAAGAGGAGGGGGGATATCCTCCCCCACATGCATTGGGAGGGGGGTTAAGTACAATGTACAGGGCTTCTCCCACATTCACTCCCACACGTTCAGTGTTAGCTATGTACTTGTGTGGTAACATGACAAGAACATAATATGATTCCTTAGGTCTGGATCTACGGGCAAGATCCCACAAAGAAATACATTTCTATCATTCTCACCTATTTCCATACCTCTTCACACGACTTTGCACTGAATTTACTTACATGATAGAGGTATTTTTACACTTTTTAGGTAAATCCAACAAATATTGTGAAGAATGAACATGACGTCTTTCAAGATATTGAAATTAAAGGCAAAATTGCGTAGTGAAATGGTTAAATGGTTTCTTTAAAAATCATAAGTAGGATGAATTTTTGGTAAAGTAATTGTACAGTATTATTTTACACACTATTTACTAATGTAGAATTACAGCAATGAAAAATATGGAAACTGTTTTAGAATTTGCTCATTATAGGTGTCGAACTTACGTATCAAACATTTTACATTTTATTTATGACCCTTACAGCAATGAAATGGTAAATATTTTAAACAACTAATCATAACCCACCAGGGACCCTTCCCTGTGTTTATCATCCCTGTTCAAAACAGAAACCTGCATAAATATTTTAGAGGAGTAATATCTTTCCTGAAAGCTTATAAAGTACAAATACTTTATGACCGAAAGAAAAGATATATATATATGTCAGTCAAATTTTAAGCTAAAGCATTACCAAGTCCCAGGTGGTATGTGTTAACACAGTGACACATCTATTACGTTACATGGAAAGTATGGATACCATGTATATATAGGTTACACTAGGTAGTTGCCTTTCACACACATCCAAACCATGTCACTCCCGAATTTAATATATCTGATTGTAACATACAATGATGAAATCAAAGGCAAAAGCATAGATTCACCTTGGTTAATGAGAAATGGTAATTTATTCCTTTCCTACCGATGTCAAACTCCGAGAGTGAGGAAGGGGGACAGCTGTTGAAGAAACGTGTGATTGGACAGAGAATTTAATTTGAATTTCATCAAGTTAAAGAAACAGAGAGTGTTAACACGAACCATATGGTTTGTACCTCACTTCAACCTGTATTTGACGACACTTTCGTTACAAGACCACCAGCAGATCAAAATCGACTGAATTCATTCAATTTTTTTAACGGTATTCGGTGATTGACTGATTTGTGTTTCTTATGAATATTAAAATTTCCAGATAATACCTGTCGGTGAAAGGCCACCCTGATTTTGTGATTTTGCCAATAGTTACTATTTTGTTCATGTGTATATTATCTCACTGATGCATCTATAAAATTCACCAGCCTTTGCCAAGCTCATTCACATAATGTTTTGAAGTGAGGCGAGGGAAGTGGTGATACACAAGACAACAATCGCTATTATTTTGTATATAAAACTGGTGATAAAATCTCTAAATTACAGTGAACACTTTGCAAGTAATATATGATTGTACAGGGCACATATAGAGAATAAAAAGGATCAAAGCTATGAGGATATTAAAATCAGTGTGTATCGCTGGCTGTGGTCTACTTCTGAAGGCGAACATGTAAACATTTTATTGCTTTTAAATTGTTTTCTGCCTCCATGCTATTTGTGACAGTTTTTGAAGTTTAGGACTTCAAGTGATTTTATCTGTGGTTGAGCTTTATGAAGCAGTTTCTGATTATAGCTTGAATTACTTATATGTCCCATTCAACAGTAAGAACAATTGAATAAAATTATCAAATTATGTATGGAATAAAATCAGAAATATTTGTGTATCAGTTTTGTTTGCCCACATTCTTTCCTAAAGTTGAGTGAGGTGGCTGTTGGCAGTTGATGGTCATTTGATATTTATGTCTAATTTGTATATTTCTAGGCTGGTATTTTGATTCTCTTCAACCTGGGATCAGTGCTATTGGTATACCCAGCCATCTGTAGCTGGGACCTGAAGCGGAAGGAAGACAAGCGTGTGGACATCTTCTGTTGTATTCAGAGGTAAGTTCTGACCATGTATAGGTGATGACAGGTCATATAGGTGATGGCAGGTCAGAGGTCAGAATTAACTGTACAGGGTAGGTCATGTTCAAGGGTCATAGGTCAGTATTAAACTTGTACAGGTGAAAGCATGTTTTGTTGGGGGTGGGGGTGGGGNGGGAGGGGGAGGGTTGTCTCATTGCCACTAGTTAAAGAGGTGTTGGGGTCAAATAGAAATTGTTAAGTTTTTGATTTGGGATTTTGAGCTTTACTGACTTTGTATGCTACTCACTGTACATAAATTTAAACCATTTATAAATGTAAATGAAGATAAAAATTAAAATATAGTTTATACTGATGAACTGTGACTATTTTTCAACAGTTATGCTGAGAATAACAACAACACAGTGATAGATCTGGCTCCCAGCCGTAACGAGTTTGAGATGCGTGACCAGAGCCCTCCCCCCTGCTACGGTACCCCACCCCCTAGTTACAGTCCCAGCCCTCCTCCCAGTTACAATGCAGTGGTCAATGCCGGACCGGATGGTGATCATGTGGTCACTTCTCTTGCCCCTGAGGGCTTGTTTGTGGCCAGACCAACCCCTCTTCCATCATGTAAGTAGCCATTTTGAAATTTACATATTTTTATGCACATATGCAGTTTATATTGTGCAGAACTGTATTTAAGAATAAACACTCTCTGGTAATTATTTTTTCTGTAATTTATTGGCCATTTAGGATTTTAGCGATATGTTCGTATTCATGAGAACTGATAATTTGTTTGATTCTTAAAATTTTAAGCTAAGGTAATGTTTTTTGTGATATTTTGCTATCTTGTCCGGATTCAACAGTAAAAATACGTATTCTTTGTGTTGATCTGTTTTATGACATTTTAGCAGTATACTATCAGTGAAAGGTATTCTGTATAAATTTAACATTCTTGAAACGGACACGTTTCATAAATTTTGTGAGATATGAACTTAAAATGTAGCAAGTCTTGAAATAAATCAATAAAAAAAAAAATCAGGGCAATACACTGGTTTACATGTACTTAACATGAGGACATGTTACAGGATGGGAGACAGACTCCATTTTCTCTAATTTCATATGCTAAAAACATTTGAAACCACTCCGTGAAATTTTTATTTGAATCTCTATCTCCTTACATACTTGTGTGACTTTCTGTGTAATATCGCTACCAAAACTTTATAGTCTAGATCAAAAGTGTGAATGTTATACCTAAAAACTTTAATGACTATCTAAGGGGACGTAAACTGAATTTTGTGAGCATAGCGACCTCCCCTTAGGGCTACACAACACTTTTATGTAGAAATCAACAAAACAGTGAGAGAGAAAAAAATATTATCTTACTCCATAACCCTACAGCATAGCTGCCAGCTCAGGTTTCAATTTGATTTGATTTACAAAGTATTATTTTCATGCATATGTAAAAAGAATGGGGATTCTTCACCTGGCAACCCAAATTCAAGTCTCTACAAGTAACCTACACCACTTAGTAATTTGAAAAAAAAAAAGGAAAATCTAGAAACTGCTTTTTCATGCCAAAGTATCCTGTGCACTTTTCATTCAAATGTCAAACAGAAAATGGATTATTTGTCGTCCTGTCTGCCATTCTACTGTTAGAGACTAGCCACCGAGGGAGGTTTTCATTAAGTGAGATTTCCCTAATCAAACAATTTTACTAATCATTTATGTTCATTTCACGATCAGGAATTAATATTATTGATAGCTTTGATATTTTTCTGTTAATTCAAAAAAACATTTCTGATTTTTTTTTTTATCTTTCCTAGTCATTTTAGCGCCATTTCTAAAACTGTTTATATTGTGTTTTGTCAGTGTGCCCATCCACGACCTCTTCGCGCCAATGTTTGACCCCCGACGACAGAGTCAGCTGCGGGGAGCGTTTCGCTCAGGCCCAGAGGGAGTGTCTCAGTTTGAGCCTCACCAGCTTCGCCACACGAAGGGTGGGACCTTTTCTGAAGAAACCTCCCGTCAAGGTATGTGAAAACTTGAAATATCAACTAAGTCATATCAAAGTTGGGGTCATAAAACAATTGTTAAAGATAAGCAAAGCCTTAAAATCATTGAATCAATAATGCATTGAAATGACCAGAATGCTATTTTGAATTAAACGATGATTGGAATGATGAGAGTTTGTAGTTACGGTATATTTGTATTTGTTTTCTTTACAGGTTTTCACCGTGTTATCATTTGTTATTGTGTTGATGGTCAGTATCTATGGCATTACAAAGGTCAAGGATGGCCTTGACTTAACAGACATCGTTCCGAAGGGCACTAATGAGTACAAGTTCCTAGAGGCACAATCGGATTACTTTGGCTTCTACAATATATACCTAGTCACAAAGGTATGTTTAACTCAATGCCATTCACAAAGACATATTCTCACATGAAAGTTTTGGATTCAAATTATGTAAGATGAAATATAGAAATCATATTGTTTGTGTAACAGAAAGAGAGTAGTGTGCTTGCACTTGGGATCGAATCGTGATCACATCGATCCCAGTCTTCTTAGTCGCACACTCTAGACCACTGGGCTAAAACGGAATTCCCTCTAGTGCGAAGCTAGAAGGCGACCGTTATCCTATGTACAATTAAAATCTACCTCATTTGATTGAATTTGTGAAATATGTTCTATTGTCTCTTTCTATATTGCAGGGAGATTTTGATTATCCTAACAACCAACCCTTACTACTGGAGTACCACAAGTCATTCCAAAGTGTAGGAAAAATTATCAAGCGTGAAGATGGCTCACTGCCAAACTTTTGGCTGATTATGTTCCGGCAGTGGCTGGAAGGTGAGTGAAGCTGCCATGTCAGAATCTATTATATGATATAGTGTAAGGTCTGAAACTTACATGTTAAAAGTATGTACAATTGTTGTCATGTAATTTGATACGGCTGTTAGTAACTGGCCTGGTCTTGAGAAGCCACCAGGGCCTTCCTCAATTAGAGCAAATCACCACTTCCTAATGTACTTGTGGTATACCATATTTGTTCTCTAAAGCTCAGCTGGACATATTTGCTTCGGTGAAATTATCCTGAAACATGGTTTCATTTCCAGGTAGGACTAATTAATAGCTTGATTATATAAAGTATAGTATAAATGTACATCTCTGTTGTAAATTTTGTTTTTATAATGTACGAAACATAAATTTGAAAACTAATTGGCCGTTAAACTAATCATTTAATTAATCACATTATTATGAAATCAACTTACAGACTTGCAGACAGTATTTGACCGTGAATATTCGGAGGGACGGTTGTACCGTGACGGATGGTACACCAATGCATCAGACAGTGGTGTACTGGCATATAAACTGTTGATCCAGACCGGAGACGTGGACACACCTTATGACAAAAACCTGGTACGTAACATCATCTTCGATATAAAAACAAAATCCTCCGTGTGAAAGTTTGGAAAAATATTGGTAAGATTTATATGTATTCGGTGAAAGTGAAAAATTTGTGTTTTAATTTTTAAATATTTAAACAACTGATGAACCTTTAAATGTTAAATTTGGTGGGTTCATAGCTTTGTAATTGAGAGGGTTACGAAGTGTTACTGTTTCTATTGTTTATCTTTATATGATCATGTGTGCTGTGGGGCTGTTGGGCTGTTGAGAAACAAATTAAACAAATCCATAATAATGATGTTGTTTACAGTTTCCCCACAACCGTATGGTAGAAAATGGAATCATTGCCCCAAAGGCCTTCTATAGCTACCTGACCGCATGGACATCCAATGACCCAATGGCCTATACTGCATCCATGGCTGACTTGCATCCCCCTACCAAGGATGAGCCGCATGACTCCTACGATTACGAACTCAAAAGTAAGACATAAATTGGAACATGTGGGAATTGATTTCAATGAATTATAATCATTGGCACTGGCATTACAAGGGCTAAAAACATAACAAATTCAGAATATTCAATGCTGTTCCAAATGTTAAAACCACATTTCTTCCAAATGAAATGTTTCATCCTTTGTTGTATGGTTTTAATGATGATGTTTTATTTTCCGTTTCAGTATCCAAGGCACAGCCTCTGATTTATGCCCAGATACCATTTTATCTCACCAACCTGTCCGACACGGAGGACATCCTACATACAATCAAGGTAATTAGGGATGAGCTTATTGGTGCACTTGAGCAGGTGCCTGTCCATTATAGCCAGGTGCCGCCTCCCTCTCAACTCATTACCCCAGAAACTAGACATTACGAGTCAAACTTTGCTCCCCACATAGAAATGTGTACTCTTATTACATCTTCAACAATATTTACTGCTGCAATTGTAAAAGTTAATTTTCTGTTTCACATTGCTGGTGGTAAATACTTCTGAAAGTACCGACCATTTATGATTAGAATTTTACTAGAAGACCTAATGTAATTGTAACAAACGTTACATATGTAAGAAAGGGGTTAAAACAAAGTGTACATGTCTGTTATAGATGTAAGGTCTGTTAGATGAGAGTTACATGGCTGAAAAGGCAGCTGTGAAATCTAAATGGAAAGTCAGGGCCCAGGCCTAGTTTATACTCGGGGGTATTACAAATGAGGTTGATATGTCTGTAGGTATCACGTGTTGGGGGCACCTGTGTGTGTGTGTGGTACAGGGCCTGGTCAGGCATCTGTGTACCCGGTAACCAGTCTCTATCTCCCACTAAACAGAACTTGCACAGATAATACCTGATACCATAGTGATAGCGATAAACAGCACCACTAAAACATTAACTTTTCACTCTCTATTGCCACAGGTTAGTTAGAATTTACTTCAAGATAGAGGTTTTTTTTGAGGTGTGTGTTCTTTTCCTATTCTATTTTTAAACATCTCTTATTTGAATTTATTTTTTTGTATTTTTGTCCTCAGATTTGTATGCATTAGAAGTAATGGGAATGGATTACATCAATCTGATGTTGTAGGAGTGAAAGAAATAATTAACTTGTCATTAATTCTGTATTTGTAGGGATATTTTGAAATTAAAACTTTCGACTGTTACAGGCCATCCGTGCAATCTGCGACTCATTCACCGAGCGAGGTTTACCAAACTATCCAAGCGGAGTACCATTCACGTTCTGGGAGCAGTACATCAACCTACGCTTCTATCTGATGTTGTCCATCCTGTGTATTTTAGTTGTTACCTTTATTGTGATCACCGTTATCCTTATGAATCCCTGGCTGGCCAGCATTTTGGTGAGTAGCCAGGACAATCAGCAAATCACAAATAGCAGTGTTGAACTAAATAGTCTTGGGCTTCCTGATTAGCTGTTTTAGTAATCAGAATATTGCTAAAATACATCATTATATATATAGTTTTGTCAATTGTCATGATTTATTTGTAGTAAAATTGTAACCGTCGCAGCAAGTTCATTCTAAATTTTCTTTGGTTGGTAGATGTCGGAAAGGGATTGTTGTGTTAGAATGTTGAAACTGAAAAACTGATAATTGCTCGTGGACATATTTAGGACATTTCTGTCGTTACATCGGGTGTTGTTTGCGTGTGTGTGTTTGTTAAGTTGAGAATGAAACTCGACATAATAGTTTGTCATACGTTTTGAATTACGTCCTCGTGCTGTCACACCAGCCAGGTATGTGTTTGAGTTGTAAGGATGAAAACAGCGACTGTCATGTTTACCACAAATATAGCGATAGTCATCCATCTTCCATGTCGTCGACGCAGGCACAATATGGTTCAGATATATCCCTGCACGTGTCAGAAAATAGTTACTCCTGAGAAACGGTAGAAGGAGACTAGACCCTATTTACACTGGCATCATATATACAGCACAGATAAAATACTCATGAAATCAGCTGAATCACATGTGAAGCTGAGTGATGAAATTCCCTGTTGATGCATTTTTGCCGGATTTAATTGAAAGAGGTAAAAAGCAAGCATCATCGACCTAGGATAGCTTGTGTACAGATTGTCATAAAATGTGATTGTGACCATCAGTGCAGTGCTATATTGCCGTCAACATGGGGAAGAAACAGATTTACATTTTTTTTACTGTAAACTTTTTATAGAAACCATGTGTGACCGGCCCTCATCATCTCTCTTCACAGGCCACAAAAAACAGTATAACTATGGGGAAGCGTTCGCTGTGTTACATTTTACAGTTGTTGAAATACTGTCATAAAGTTCTTGCTGTTTCTGAAAAGATGTATCGAGATTTTCATTGGTGTTGGCATAGAAGCTGGCTATTTTTAGTGAGTGCGTAGCCTACAATTTCCACAAGTTTATTATAGGTAGAGTACAGTACTGCTTGTATCATGGGTTCTCTTTTTATTTGATTGCAGTTGAAGAGTTATCAAACTGGCCTTGGAAACAAGAATTTTATAACTTAACAACAGTGATATAAGTGTTCAAGGAAGCTTATTTGGCAAAGTTTAGAACTTTTAATATAGTAAATGGCTGGAACTAGTTTAAAAGTTGTATATTAAGTGCTGGAAGTGATTGATTCAGTTTGTGAGTTTGTTTTTAATCATAAAAAGTTATTGTTCTGGAAATCTACAATTAAAAATTAAGAATAGCTTATAGTCCATTAAGAACCCACCACAGACTCAATAATTAGCGAAACAGAGTTGTTTCCCGGTATTTCAATATTGGTTATGTTTGTACCAAAATTTGAAAAGAAATGATTTGAGATTTTTATAAAATGTCTTTATTTGTTTTGACAGGTTGTTGTTCTGACCATGATTGTGGTTGAGCTATTTGGTGCAATGGGTCTGACGGGTATTAAACTGAGTGCCGTTCCTGCGGTGGTTCTCATTGTCAGTGTTGGCATCGGAGTGGAATTTACCGTCCATGTGGCAGTGGTCAGTATTATTGATTTATAATTCAGATATAACTTTGAAAATGTGATCATCTCAAAAAAAATGTTTAAAGATATTTATTGAAAAAAACCCACTGTATTTCTGATGAAAATTCAGCCTTTGGATTTTCCTGTAGATGAAGAATTTCTTCAAGGAAATAATGTTGCATTTTGGTTGTTACAGGGTTTCCTAACGGCCATTGGGTCACGAAACAAGCGCATCATGATTTCCCTTCAGCACACCTTCGCCCCAGTCATTCATGGTGCCATCTCAACACTTTTGGGAATTGTCATGCTCTTGAGTGCAGAATTTGAATTCATTGTCAAGTGAGTATTGACATTTATTTGTAGATAATTTTGATCCACTCATTGCCAAAACTTGGTCTGCTTCTATTGCCTTTGCCTGAGAGCAACACTTTCTCTCATGTCAAAAATATTATCAAATTTAGGAAATTGGTAGTTCAGAAAGTAAGACAGAACGGTTTTGTTGATTACCACTGTATTTGCATTTCATATGGATTTCGCAGTATAATGAAGAACAGTTCCACGGGACATATCAGTTTCTAACAAAAGGCAGAATCACACTGTTGTGCGAAGATTAAAATCAAATACTTATTCCTTTTCGGAGAGTATATTGTTAAATGATAGTTTGTTGTGGTTAAATTTTCAGAAATGATAATGATTTGTTTATACGATGGGAGATTGTTCTAAAAATAGTGTGTTTGAGGATGAAGATTTCATCTAATTGAAATAGATGTGCTGTATATAAATTTGATATCCACAAGGAAATTTTCAATCATTGTGAAGCTGTTGGTACATAGATGGTTATAGAAGTTATGCTGCAGTGCATGTGTTTTTGGTTTTAGATTTGTTCTGTACACAAACCCCCATGTAGAAACCTCCTGGATGCAGCAATAGTTCAATTTAAAGGGAAGGACGACTGGGAAGGGGTGTGGTCTGATAATGAAGAATTGATTGAAACAAAGATATTAATGTGGTAGATTTCTCTTTCTGTTCCGCAGTAATCTCTCCCCAGCTGCTGTTATATCAGAACCCCACACATCCCTTATTATCCCCATGAATGACATCATAGCCACGCTGATAGCAAGTCTACCTTTTTTTTTTATGTTGAGAAACTTTTGTGGTGGAATAGTGTTCGCATCATATACCTTCACAAACTTTCATCAATAAAGTGTGTATTGATGTGGTCTAGTACTATTTTAGAAATTCATCATTGGTTCAAATTGGAAAGATTTTTTTTTTCTGAAATAAAGAAATTCAGCATTCATTTTTTTTTAATATTTAAGTATCGCAGTTTTCTGTCATAAACCAATCCACAGGAAAATTTCAGGAAAATTTGGTGTTTATAATTCAGTTTTTGGGTTCTTTGAAAGTTATTATGATCAGGTCCTAAGGAGACATAAATAAGTTAGAAGAGAAAATAGAATAGAAAAGAAATTATTTTTAAAATTTACTGTTGTACCTGTAGGCATCCAAAATGTAAGGAGATTTATACTCTAGATAAGTTTGCAACACAGGGTTAGGCAGTGTGATTCCCTTCATTTTTGTATATGATAACCAAACACAATTTTGTTCCCTTCTTGATTCCATTATGTTTTTATGATTTTTTTTCTCTCGGTTTTGTGTACATGACATCAGTAGTGTTTTTAATGATACGAAAATATAAAGTGTTCAGCTTACGGAGGAGCAGAGAAGTTGTACTCAATCTCATTACTGAACACTGATACACATGGCCTATAAAACTCGGCCCCACTGAATGTTACAAAACTTCTAGTGTGGGATTCAATGTGATGGCAGGGAGGATGGTGTTTCCAAAAAAATGGGGTACATTTGGGGGTCACATTTGTTTTTTTGCCCCTCATTGCCTTCCACACTACTACTACAGAAATGTATGTATAACTGATGTTAATTTACTCTGATAGATACTGACAATATGAACTTTTTAGGACCCGCCTTAGCTTCAGATATCGGCACAGGAATTTTAAAGTATTCATGACCTACATGTACACAAAAACATACAATTTACCTCGAATCGCAAAAAAAATAAATTAAAAAATCGGAAAATATTAAGATTAACATTAATTTGTGTATATTTCTGGAAGCTGATTGAAGTTAAAATGTTAAAATAAAATAAAAACCTTGTTTTGGCTGATCTATCAAAGCTACCAGGCTAATGGTAACAATGATCTCCCTCAGGTGCAAGCACTTAATTGCAGTTTCCCATTTTTTGTGTAAAATTATGCCAACAAAACAATGTCTAAGTTTAAGTAAAGAGACATTGAAAATACCAAGAGTCATTCACAGAACTTTGAAATATTTTGACTCTCACTAATGAGGTACAGAGATACAATATCGGAGGGCAGGGATTTAACTAGCATGGCAGAAAGACTATTTAAACAAGAGATATAGCCAAGCCTTTTTTGTATTCCATTAAACTTTTTAAACGGCATAGGAAGTTTTCTTTGGCCCGTTCATTTATAGTAGTACATACAGCTCTAGTGATCGGCCAACACTATTGTTACCATCGTCTGTCAGTTCCTGGTAAATTGAGACCCATTTCATACTGAGTTTGTGGTTTTGTATAATTTTCTGCAGTTCTTTAAATAAATAAGACGGCTTTATGAGCTAGTTTCGTGTAAGGTTTGTGCTAGAAGCATAGGTGAATAATGAAATCCGTTTGAATGGGATTGAAGAAAAACTCTATTTATCTACCCCGACCTATAGTTTGTGAGGAGGGTCAATTTTCTTTTCCTTTCTATTGAAAAGCTAAGACCCACATCAGTGGCCTGGTTAGCTTCTGTTCTGTTTTTACTTGTGCTTCTGTCTCTCAGAATATTACATACATTAAAATGAATACCAAAACCTGTACTTGTTTATTACACTTAATCATCAACTAAACCTATTGAAAATGAAAATATCAATGTTTTCAGAGTGAATTCAAGAAAAAAATGGGATTTAAACATTTCTCGGTAAGCTTAACTCACTTTTAAGTATGTAGCTTACAATGGAAGGCCGACATTCAGTTGGCTGTATAATGTGGGGTGCTGTCCTTCGGGCTTTTTTCACTCAGTGGGCTATTTTCATAAAAGCTGTACCACTACATATAGGGTTGGAGAGAGAGAGACGGACCACCCAGCTAGTGGGTATGAAATTTCTATACCGTAGCCCATGCCTCAGTGGGAAAGGCAAGGGGTTACCGGAGTCCTCTGTACACTACAACAAGTGGAAGGAGAGGGGGGAAAACAACCTTTTATCCAAGAATGTTATTCATTTCTTTGGTAGGAGTGAGTTACTGAAAACCAACTAGCCTGTATATGCTGTGGGGATAACTTGTATGTGTATAATAATATTATCGGTAGGTTTCCATTTGAAAAAATTAAAATTAAAAGGCATATTCATTAAAAGGACAAGATAATGTTAAATTTTAATTATTATTTTTTTAGTTATTTTTAGTGTACAGTACTTCTTTTCAAGTTTTTTTTAATCTTATCGGCCAAATTTTTAAAAACTGTTTAATTAAAATGTTGATCATGTTATTTAATAATTAGAAGCCTATTTCTTTATAATTGTTGGCAGAAGATAAGTTCAAAGGAAATTGAAGATCTGCATAAAATACACATCTCAAAAGATTTTTGATGTGTATTGAAATGGCTAGACTTCACTGTAGGTAATAAGCGTGTCTAGAGGCACGAGTCTTTATATAGCAAAAACAAGTATTTGTGGATTTCTGGGCAGGATATGTTATGCCTATGTAATCACCATTAAACTGATCAAATTACACGGGTAATACAACAAGAAATTTTGTCTAGCATAAAGAAGATTTCTGAAATTCTGATGTAAATCAAAAGTTGTGTTCTCTTGCTGTCTGAGTCAAACCAGCAAACATTATTATTTAAATTGTCTTCACACAAGGGAATAATTGTTATTTTTCTAATTTATTTTTTTCACTTGATTGTTAGATATATATTCGTTTGATAAGATTTTTATAAAACAAAAATTTTCACCTGACTGTGAAATTCTGCCAGGATAGCATTGATAGGACACTTATGTACATTGAATTGTGATGGGACCACCGTGGTGAAATTTGCATATTTAGAATAAAGGGTAAAAATCTGACAAGGGCTTGACATGAACTTCCTTTGTGTAAGCAGTATTAGCGTATAGGGCTGTTCTCTAGTGTAAGGCAGCAACACAGAGCTGACTGATGATAAGGTTGTGCCCAGATCTGGGACCACCCACAGAGTCTTACCACCTCCATCACACTTTGTGATTAAGAAGGAAATGAAATAAACACAATACTCTACTGCAGTATATCTATGCTCTTAAAACCAGAATTTAATGTAGTTTACAGATTTGATTTTTTTACCTCTGTTTGCTACATCGGTGTTTCGTCTTGATAATGAGCTTTATGAACAATACTCGTAAGTGAAATGCCAATTTATCGTAAAGCTACAGCATAATTACTAAATTAAATTTGACCTGGTGCTCTGACAAACATCATTTCCTTCTTGTGTATAATGTAAAGGCACAAGAATGAAGTCTGAAAAATTACCTGTGGGACCATGCTGCACTTTTGTTTTTCCCCTATCTTGTGAATGTTTCCAGATGCTATGTGCCTTCTCCAACGATTGTATACGTTCCTCAATACACTTGAACAATTGAAAGATTCATTCTACATATTTTGAGTAACTTTTAATGTGGAAAAAATCATGTGGTAATTATATAATAACCTCATCTTGAGATTTAATGTTGCAATCAGTTTTATCTTTTAGTTATAAGAACATCCTGTGTGTGATGTCTATAAATCAATTCTATCCAGGTATATATAGTGTTAGTTCGCATTGATCAATCATCATTGTAACCAGTCAATGATAACAGTTCAATGTTAATCTTACAAAAGAAGGCCTTCCAAGGAAGAAAACATCAATTCTAGATTGAGTAATTGATTTTGGAGAAATAAAAAATACTTAAAAGAGCTGAACATATGGTATGGAAATTTGAATATTAAGCTGTATATATGAAGCAAGAACACTAGCTCATTAATTCCACTGGTATGAGAGTCATTCTTAAAACCAAATGGAAGATTTTTTGTTTGAGGAAAAATGTTGTAAGATTAATATGAGATGAATGAGCGTTGTCACTACTTGGAGTCAGGACTATACACATCGTAACATTAGCTGAGAACAATTAATATCTCCCTACCTTAACCCATTAAGTAAGGTAGTCGGTGTTTATTGGGATGTCTGCTAGCCTATTAGACTGAAGGGAAGACCTTCCCCACACCAGGCCTAAGGCGCTACATCTCGCAATGAGCATACTTTCTTGTCAGGTGTTTCAATCTTTGATATAAAGACAAATATTTTATTAGCCTTCCACTTAAGATGTACTTGTGAGGTTGTTGTACTTTGGACAGGTCTGAATTATTATCATTTAATAATATATATATTTTTTTAAATTGGGGAGGTAGGGTCAGGGAGAAAATTCATATTTCCTTTTTTCTTTCTTCATTATTTCACTTTTCAAGACTTATCATCTGAGAGAAACAGAGAAAAAAACGAGAGAAAAAAATAGCGAAAAAATGAAAGGAAGTGTGTCCTAGGTTGTGATAGAGGTGTAGAATGTGATGAACCAGGCAGTGATGGAGGCAGGGGTATGGAGGGCGCTGGTTGTCTTCATTCATCGCCTTTCAGCTCCCTACTCATTAGAGAAAACCAAATGCATCACATTGTGATGAAAGGAGAGCTAATTGCCTCCCTTAACAGCTAAAGATCGGCAACCAGGTGTAATACTTCATGAAAAATTAAGTTGTTAATACTAGTAACAAAATTAAAAACAGAAAGGAAAGACTTTCAAATGAGTAAACAATGTATGTAATACTCATATAGAAATGTCTTAAAATCACATATAGTTAAAGACCTTTTTGGCTGTTAAATAAATGTCTTCAACAGAAAAAAAAAGGAAAAAACAACAGAAGAAAAACAAAGTGTAAGTAAATTGTATTTTTGGGAAAAAACAGTACAATAAAACTATAAAACAATCCTCACTTTTGAGCACCTAGTCTGGGAGAAAGAACTGCATGGTATGTATGCTATGTAATAATTCTGAAGTAACTGTAGCCTGTTGCAGTTGATTATGGGGAACAATAGAGGGGTGGCAGTGCTCAGGTGTGGTCTGTGGCCATGGTATGTGGCCAGTATCAGTCAGGCCTGCCAAGGAGAGATGTTGGCCGTGGATAAAGTCACTGATTACAGATAGACATCTTACAATACTGCAAAACCTATCTTTCGCCTTGTTTGCAGTAATATGACTTCATATAAACAGTTTCCTGGTGGTCTATGGTCTGTTTGAAGTGCTATGCACAGCCTACACACAGCTATTTGTTGTGGTAGTCCTACATATGCTCCGGTGAGATCCAATTTTGATCCAACTGATACAAAGTGTAGTTATGCCTTGTAACAATGAATTTCTTGTTTGAACACAGTAACTAAAATATCAGATAAAATACCACAAATGATAAAATGAACTTTTCACTGTAATGATCGTTTGCAAAGTATGTAATATCCTTTAAGTGGTTTTTCTCACAAACTTTTTGGATTACCTATAAAGGTAATTTCAAATTTAAGATTTTAATTTAAGCTTTTATTAAATTCTATTTAGACAACTGTTGACTACTATACTTCAGTTGCAATATGTTATCACATATAATACCTGCAATACATATATTTACCACAATAAACAGATTATTGATTTGAATTTTGATTTTAAGTTAATTTAAAATATACTAAATCAATTGAATTTTAAATTTTAAATTTCAAGGCTAAAGAAATGAGTAAGAAAACTTGCATATCTTATGTATATATACATTTTTGAAGATTGTGAAATACCAAAATGGCATAGTAAGAGAAAAAACATTCTGTTGGGGTTAAAAAAAAATCTGGAAGGAAATGTGCTCTTGTTAAAGAATAAATAGAATCTGAAAAAAACAGATAGAGGAAAAGCTGTAATCAGCTCCTTCTAAATATTTATGCTATGGTGAGGCAGGAAGGTTTGATTTTGTGTAGGATCTGTAGTCAGTGGCAAGTACGGCTGCAATCTGAGTGAGGGGCTGACATAGTTCATCTGGCTAGTGGAGGCAGGTTTTGCAGCTATAAGAGCTAATACCAACTGTGTGTGTGGCCGTATACTCTTGTAAAATCTGATTCGGTGGCTCCATCTCATTTATTTGATGTATGTGTTTATATACAAGGTGGATGTCATGTCTACAGCGAGTCCTGATTTACTCTACGTCTTACCTTTGATCCATACTGTCTAACACAGAATGCTTTTAAAAATGTTACATAATTAAAATTTGTGTAATATTGTCAGATAGAATCTCCCTCGACAGTTGTTAAAAATAAAGCAGCCTCCTTCTGCATAATCTTCCCATTTGATTTAATATTTCACATCTTCTCAGGATTACATTGTTTGGTGAATTGTAAAATTATAGAATATGAAATTCCTCATGGGTGGTCCTGTCTATAAATTACAGAGACGATTCTTTAAGCTTGCATCAGTTGAACTGTGTAGTATATGAATGGTATTATGCTTGAGCACACACCTTAGGAAGAAAACATGAAATCCCGCAGCACATTATGTGATTTACTTTAGACACAGAGTGATAACATACTCACCGTATCTGAAGTTCAAATGTACTTTTTTAAATGCCAGGAGAAATCGGTGAGCAAGTTTGAGCAAGTAAAAGAGTGATATTAAAATAAAAAAATAAAATTCTTTGTCAATGTAACACATGGGTGTATTCCCTACCATAGAAGGTGCCTTTGATGTAGTTGTTTCCTTTGAGTTTGAGCAATGCGTGATTGGTCTATGACACTGTATCGAAGAGAAGTTACCTGATGGAAAGTTTGCCATAAAAATCAAATTACTTGCCATCAAACCCACAGGAGGAAGTGGCTGCCTTCTGACCTCAACCTGACACAACCACATGTAGAGGTCAGGAGGTCAAACCTGGAGGTCACGGGGTTAAACATGTCATAATTCACTAAACATGACTATTTTTTCCCTTGCTCCTGTCATATCATTTTACCTTCTTACAGTCATGCATGCCAGTTTTAATTTTCATTTATTTTTTGAACTTTTAACATTTCATTGGAATAATTTTGATATTCACATTTAAATAAAACTTGTAAGAAAATTGCTTTTTGTATGCATTTAAAAAAATGACTGAAACAGTGGGGTTGGATGATTGTGATATTGTTGGAGGGAAATGAAGGGAAGGGCAAGGTGCCAAGCTATGTGGAGATATTTATAGACAGGCCCTGCAGGATGCCTTCTACTAAAGCGGCTCAGCATTTCCTCCATCTAAACAGTGTTATTGGTCAATTCAACATGGGTCTGTGTGGTCCCGAGGAGGTAGGGCTCCATGGGTGTAGATAAAGTCAGAGGAGTCTTGAAAATAAATAAAATAGGTTTTGTTTATGGTGGGCTCTGGGTATGGACTGTATATCTGTCAGGTTTTGTTGCTTTAGGGTCTCCCACCTACTCCTAGTGTTTGCTTGTTTGAGATGTGTGCTTCTCAGGTGCTCTGCATGTGTTTTCAGATTAATCTACGTTCCTTAAAAAAATGGAGAAAAAAAATGAGAAAACTTTGGTAGAAAATTCAGGTATTGTTAGTATGCTTAAATGTAAGAGATTAATTTTAACCTGCATCTGAAAATATGGTATACAATGTATACATGTATTTGGTTGTTTTTGTCTTTTCAGGTATTTCTTCAATGTGCTCGCAGCTTTAGTTGTAATTGGTCTCCTTAATGGCTTGGTGTTGTTACCTGTGCTTCTGTCCCTCTTTGGACCTAAAGGAGAGGTTAGACCAAGAGGAGAGCACCCAGACAGACTAGAAACGCCATCACCAGAACCGTCGCCAAAACCAAAGAAAAAGGTACCGGTACGGGCAACAAGAAGCAGTCGAAGGTTATATCCCAGAGTTGCATCTGACAACTCTCTGACTACTATCACAGAGGAACCATCACAATACTCCTCTCATGAAATCATTGTCGAGCCAGAGGTCATCGTGGAAACCACCCATGTTCCAGTGGGTGCTAACTATGACAGTAGCAACAACAGTAGTAGAAATGTAAGTAGTTTACATCTCTCCAAATTAGCCACAATGACTGTCTACATTGGTCTCAATTTGGGCAAATTAAACAAAAATATCTGTGAACTTAATTCAAGGTCAAATATCAATTAACTCTAAATAATTGCCTAATGTTCCATGTATATTTCAGAGTACACCACCGGGGTCGACTGCCTCCACGCCGCTGGCATCCCACATTACACGGGTGAAGGCTACAGCAACTGTGAAGGTGGAGGTCCATACGCCTATTATGCACGGTAAGTCTTCTGTGTAAGGGAAACAACTCCTGCATGTAAACATATCTTTTTGAATGTTAAATTGACAATGTAGATCCCCCAAATTTCCATGTTCCTGGTAATACTTTGAAAAACAATTATGCATTTTGGTTCAGCTTTTTCAAAAAAAATGTTTGCAAATACGTGTAAAAAAATGGAATTTGTTTCTGATGTGTATTGTTTAATTTCGTTTTCAGGAGGCACAGTTGAAATGTCAGTATCAAATAAAAACCGCAAAAGCAAAAGACGGAAATTAAAAGAATTAGAAAGTTCAGATTCAGATTCCAGTAGTAGGTCCTAGCAGGTATGTACAATATTGTTATTCTTGTTTGATCAAAAGGTAGACAGGAATCAAATTATTGAGTATAATAATGGTACCACATTTATAAAAGATATTCTAATTTTTCAATAAAAAGATTACCAGTGTTATTGAATTACACACTGTGGCATATAGTCATTGTTTGGGAAATACCACAATTATAAGTAAGGGTATTGTAAATATACTTGATAAAATTGTACATATACATGAAAAATAAACTACAGTAATAGAAACTTATGTCTGAACTACTATTAAGAAAAGATATTATATTAATTTGATCTTTCTTTCTTAATTGCAGAAGGTACAGTTCTGTGTGGATAATTGGAAGGTGCTAAGGCCCTGTGTTATATAGACAAATACCAGGCATCGTGTGGGACGTCATATGAATGTCCTTTCTTCAATGCTGTGCCACATTTCTCAGTATTCTCTCAAACAAGGTTGTGTGTCTTCCATTACCTGGAAGACTGTACCACTTAGTGCTAAACTGTGATGTTCGAGATTACTTGGTGGGTGGATGTGCCGTCCAGGAGCCTTATAACTGCATCCTGGGTGTGGCACATCCATCCTCTAGGCAAATCGCAGAGTGACTGGACACTCGTATTACTGTTCATAATTATTTACTTAATATAAAGGCAGCTGAACTTCAAAGCTAGAGGACAGCTATGTTTGCTAATGGCCAGTGTTATCCTTCAGATCAATGCTAAATAAATCTCAGGTGTGTGAAACAAAACTTCGTTAGCAGGTGTGTAAAACAAAACTTCGTTAGCAGGTGTGCATGCAGCATGCAAGCTCAACTCATCAACCTACCGTTGTTACGTGTTCAAAAACGACATCATGGAGATAACTACCCAAGTTGTGTTACTAAAGACAAAATCTTCGCAACCTGGATTCACCTAGTTATTGTTAAAACTTGTCAACGGAAACGGAGCCTGCAGTTGTGTGAAGCACAGACTTAAGCTAACCCCATGAGTGGACCGCATATGTATTAAACGGGTGTCAAGCTTAACTGGCTTGTGATTGCTTTATTATGAAGGATAAAATGTGGAGTATACATTGTAACGTTAATGTTACCAGGGAAAAAAGAGAGAAACACTCTTTCTTAATTTAATGTGTGAAGTAAGATAAAGACTTTGAAGCTTTTTATTCAGACATGAGATGGGATAATAGATGACAATGTCCGATTTCTGTACTGGTCATCTGGTCTGTCTTGTTTCTGCTTACTACGGGTACTGTATAATAAATATTATGTGTTGATTGTCCTTATCAAAGTGTCATTTTAATACTATGAATCCTGTTGATGTCGGGGGAGTTAATCATTAATAAACAAATGTAAAATCAGGTCGGACTGTTCAAAGGTTTATAACTTTTAAAAAAGACGTACTGTTGAATCTTCGCGTTTGATCTTGACATTTTCCATCTCCTTTTTTTTTTTTTTGGTCATCATTTGGAATTCAGTGGCAATATGTCATTTTTCTACCTTTGCTGTCTGCAGTATTATCAAAATTATTTTTTCATTAATGTCTTTATATTTATTTAAATAAATTGACATTAATGATATTTTTTTTTTTTTTAAATGTATTTTTTTAAAGACTTTTGCAATACAATCTTTGAACAATCTGGCTCCAGGTGTAAGATATTGACACCCAATTTTTTTTATGAAGTAATTGATGTATTTTATTTATTTATGAATTTGAAAACAAATGTTATCATTTGGCACTGTAGCATAGCACATACTCCTATAATCTTGAAAGTATTACTTAATCGTGCTGTGCTTCTGTGCCAATACTGATGCTGTTATAAGAGATGTATAATAGTCCTGTTACATTGTAAGATAGTCTGTATGTAGTAACTAAGTTTATTATCAGAGGCGAGATGTACAAACTTTAATGTATGATGATGTAAACATTATTTGAGGTGTATAAAGTGCTGTTATCATAGGTCGAATAGGGATGCCAACAAGAGGATACAAAGTATTATACACTGGGGTGTGGACGGCACAGATTTGGGGTTTTAATTATCGGAGCTATTTAGATTGTCGATTATTAAGGGCATTGATGACCATAAGGGATGGAAAGCTGATTTATAAAATTGGGCATTATTGTGTTTATATGTGAAGTATTATTAATGGTACTAGAAATCTGTTATGAATATTTAAAACTTTGAAATATTTGGCAAGGTATACGTAGTAGAAGCTATAGCATCGATATTATTGCCTATTCCATCTTTGCATATTGCAGAGTTATCTTCCCTTGTGAGCAGGTATTGATTGTTACGTCATTCGCTTGTGAGAGTTACGTCATCAATTTTTGAGAAAACGATGTAATTTTCTCACACAAACCAATGATGTCACAATCAATACCTGCTGACAAGAGAAGATAACTGCAATACGCAAAGACGGAATTAGTAGCACAAAAAGGAAGGAGGGATGGCAGGGACTGACCCAAGGTTTTCAAAGGGAGGGGATTGGGAAGAGAAAGTCGGAGAGCTCGAGAGGCACAGATAGAGAGGGAGAGAGATCCAGAGAGAGAGACTAGGAGTGGTGAGAAGGATGTATGGGGAGGGATTCTGGGGTGGGAGCATACAATACATCTCCCAGGTCTGTGCTGAACCAATACTCAATGTTGTAAGTCTTTTGTATAGCATTCCTTAGTACAGACTATCTTAATGGATGTTTGGAACAGAATATTTTATCTTTTTAATTTGAAAATTGATTCCCAACAACATTTTATATACTATAGCCCTAGTTCCCTACCTACTGTTATATAAAACTGCCCTATTTATTTAGTTGTATTGACCCCACCTGTCCAAGCATCCATTAAGATAGATAATCATTGTACGCATATTGTAACATTCTTTTTAATTATTGAATGATTTTAAACCAAAGATGTTTTCATAATAGTATTGTTTGTAGAACCTCAGGCATGTGTAAAGACTTTGTGTCTTTCGTAATTTGCATTGTTAGTCCCCACCTTGATTTTTTTTTGAACAAAAGATTTTTTCTATAATGCTCACTTATTTTTCTGCTCATATTTTTTTTTTTTTTTTTTTTTTAAATATCGAATGATAAAGCATGGTAAAAACTCTTTATTTCTTTTTTCCCCATCTAATAGAAATCTTAAAATGTAAAAAAAATGAAAAGTGCCTTTTCGGTGTAATTGTTGTTCTTGTTTCATCTGTTTTTTCCATAAAGTTCATAAAGAGAAAGAATAAAGATTTTTTTCTTGCATATCAGGGTACAAACTGTAAGAAATCCTTCTCTGGTAAGGGCTCATGATCTGTATGAAACCCCTAAGCCAGGTTTGCTTAAACTACAAAATTCTATCTGTTTCTGGAAGTATTTTTGTTGTCCATTATTTCATTGTGTACAAACTCAAGAATCGTTCATTTTTGATAAATTTCATATGAATTGGATCAAGTTTTTGCGATTTAAAAAAAAATGAAACAACTTTTTATCAATCAACCAATTTTGATATGGACATGAGAATTTTACCAATATTGAAAAGAAACAAAATTCTTTTTATCATTTTTTTTATTAAAACTTAATTGCTATATTTTCTGATCTAGTGCTACTGTATGTTCAGGCCAGTCTTGAAATGATTCTGAAAAATGGCAGGTTTGCAATTGCTAGTAACTGTGATAATCCAGTTATGTTACACTGCCATATCTGTAAATTATAAGTTTTTTGTCTTGTTATATTTACAATGATTCTTTATTATGTGCCCTTCATTGAGCCCCAGCCTGCCAAGCCATACTATGGCAGAATGTCCCTGCTTTACCAAATAATACACACTTCAGTGACTTTCATTACCTCAGTATATAGGGCACACCGTGTGGCAGGCCTGGGGCCCAAGATGGGGTGATTTGCCTGTGATAGGCCTTTGAAAGGTGTATAATACTCAACTAAGATGTAAATGGTAGATGAATATTGCCCTTCTTACTGTGTTCAGGCCCCACAGAGAGGGGGTAATGTATGTGTAAACTACCACATACACAAATAATGAATAAAATGAAAGAAATGAACTTACCCTGGCCTTCGTGTTTTGTATGATGTTATGTTTTTAAAGCTACTGGAGCCTCATGGTTCTGTATTAGAATGCCAAATATGAAATCAGGATATAGCCCTTGTTCACAGGGCATATGTGATATGTTGAAATGCAGTAGGTCTTGCATATTTGGATGCAATGAGCTCGAGCAGGAGTTAACCGTGTAACGACAATGTCTTACCTGTGCAGAATTACGGTGTCTTACCTTTGGGTAATTGCAATATCCTACCTGTGTTTTGTTGCAATGTCTCAACTCTGTAGAAGGCAGCGTCTGACAACAGGTCTTTGCCAGTTGATTTGAAGCTGGCCCTCTTTCCCTCTAGAATGCATTCCTTCCTAATAATGTAGTATAGTGTGTAATAAGTTACAGTTAGACTTTCTAAATGATTATGCAGAAGCCAAACTAAGGTAACCGTGTGCTACAACTTCACATGTCAGATAGGATCAGTTTGAATGACGGAGAATATAATTGAAAGTCGATATTGCAGTAAGGTTAGGTTAATCAGAATGTGTACCGGACTGGAGTCCGACAGTAATAGCTGATATACCTTTTAACATCACAATGACAAGACATCCAGGTAATGAACTCACCTCGCGTCTTGCTGTCTACGTCAGCGCATGGACATCATACATCTACAATCGTAAACAACCTCAGACAGCATAGGTATTCATGACCTCTTTGTCCAACTTCTTTTACTATCCAATGTACTTCGTTGGAATCACAACAAACGTGTAACACGTCACATTTTTTTTGCGTCTTCAATTAAATAAGAGATTTTCGAATTAACGCGAAGGTTTTTAATAAGGAAAATGATTTATTCCCAAAATCTCGCAACTCTAATGTTAAGTAGTCAATTAATAGTTGCAATAGTTAGAACTTGCAACGTTACAGCATTGTCAAGATTAACAACGTGTGTAATACGTCACATGTTTAAACAATTTCCAAATGATATTAAGTGATACGGATGAGGAAATACATAGACGTGTCCCTTAAGCTTGGTCAGAGAGTTGTGATCTGTCCAAAGTACAGAAAATGTGTTTGTGAAAAATCAACAAGTCGGGGAAACCATTGAACACGTGGAACCGATCATAACAGGAAAACGAGTGAACATGTTAAAGACCCGAAGATAAAAGAAGGAATTTTGTAGTCCCGAGAAAACTGAACAGGACAGCCGCGTGCCGGTAACGAATGTGCAGACAAGAATGTTGTCAACTTTCTTGTAATGTTATGTGCCTTTTTCAACAACCAGTCAAATTAAAATAAAAGAAACATCCCTAATCTCAGTTACAGGGGACAACGGGAATCCTCCTAACTGACTTGGGTATTGCTTTTATGTAGCTTTTGACCAGACTTTGGTTGGAATCCATTCATTTTAAAATTAATTATTGTCAAGAAATTCCGAAAGTGGCAGGGAAAAACATATTATTGAAGTAAACAATACAATTGGCTTTAATACACGTACATTTGTGTCATAGAAATTATCATCAAAAGGACAAAATGTTGCATGATTAACCTTGAAAAGATAACACATTAACGTCAATCAGCTGTAAAAATATTCCACTAGAGAAAATGTAACAGCATGATAAACCTGAAGTATCACGTGGTCTCTTAAGAAAGATTTGCTAGAAGATCTAAAGCCATACTTTTGAAAAGTAATTGAAGAGTACATTGTAACATTCACTAGAAGACGACAAAAGAACACCATCTGAAATACGTATCGCCTACCGCATCGCAGCTGAAAGTTGGCACAATCTATCGGTACAAGGAGAAACAAGGTGTGAAGAAATGTCACCAACACAGACTGTTGGAGAACGAACATCAATATTGATCGGGGCAATAGGACAAAAGTTATCAGGGTTCAAACTTAAAATGATGAACATGAACTCTCGGCAACAAAGCTGCAATGAACAAATTGTCCAAATTTTATAATCAGGGTATTGTACATATTGAGGATGTAGATTAACGGGAAACAATCGTTTGCTATTGCCAACAAAAGTATCACTCAAAACATCTTCCAGAAAATCGGATTGCAAATAAGCAGAACTAAGACAAAGTCTTTATAACAAGTGAGGATACTGTCTCTAAACCAATCTTTCTCGAGCTTGAAACGTACGAAAGTTTTTGTGATGTTTGATAGTAAATACCCCGCATAGTTCCGAAGTCGATGCAATCTTGAGAGGCAGTGACGAGAATGTACTACTAAGATAAACATTCATAGCCTGGACGAACGACGCTAAACACACAATCAGCTCAGGGATATAGTACATTAAGAAAATCTTGCCCAAACAACCTACCACCGTCAAAGTTGCACAATTCTGTCGAAACACAAACAATTGTTTTAGTTATCTTACTTGAAAGTGAACTAGCTACCTAAACGTCCACATAAAAATAAACAAATTGTGATCAAACATGACACAAAAATGATTTTCTTCACCCAGAGGTGGGTAAGGTACTAATAAATGAGGCATTGTTTTGTCTTAAATTCAAAGAGTGCATAATGTGTTTTGGTTCCATGCAATGAAACGAAAATGAGTTGAAAGTAGACTGTATGTATAAGATGAAGCAGTTGGACTTATGCACAGAGTAATGAAAGTGTCGGAGGAAGACTGTAAATATAAGATTAAGGAGTCGAAATGTGCAGGAGTTAGACTGTTGTTATTAGATAAATGAGTTGAGAAATGACTTAATATAAGTGTTAGTTAAACGAATCGGACGTAGACTGTCAATCTTGTTCAATTAGACTTTGTCCGTGTAAGAACCAGTTACAGTTAAAATAAGTAAATATGAGAAAAAGATACATTTTTTTTCTATTTTGATCATATTGAATTAATACTTATAAACTTTTTGCGCCTAAGCTCTGATTCATATCGAACCTTTTGGTGTCCGATCTGTTTTAGATATAATTTATGTTAGCGGTGGTGACTAGAACCGACCTTTGACCCGATGACGTAACAGGTTGAGGTCAGGTTACCATTATACAGTGAAGGAAAGAATGGTACCACACAGTGACGGAGGAAGGACTGCCACACACTGGAGCATCTGTTCATTGTTTAATTGATTCATGTTATATTTCCGTCTTTTTTCCGGAATATTATCATTGCATGTTGTTCAGCGTTCCTACTTATTCATGTTGTGTTTCTTTCTTTTTCAGTGTTTTATATTAATCATTTTGCATTTCCTTCCTTTTCGTAGCCAAATGTATTCCTGTTGGCTTCCGTTTCTGTTTTGATGCTAGTGTTATGTATA